AAATTCAAATGTGTATGTTGAACAACTCGAAAAACTGAAGGATGGATGCAATTGAAGATAAGCGGCCGGCATTATCAAATCGGCGGAAGGGTGTTGTTTTCCATCATGATAACGCAAGGCCCCCGCACACATCTTTGGTTACTCGGCAAAAATTATTGGAACTGGGTTGGGATGTTTTGTCACACCCACCATATAGCCCTCACCTTGCGCCTTCGGATTACCATTTGTTTCGTTCCATGCAAAACTCTTTAAATGGTAAAATTTTTAACAACGCGGATGATGTCGGATCACACCTAATTCAGTTTTTTTTTAATAGCAAAGACCAGACATTTTACGAACGGGGAATTTTTACTCTGCCAGAACGATGGAAAAAGTTCATCGACAAGAACGGCCAATATCTAATTGAATAGTTATATTCTTAAACAAAATTCCGAATTTGTCTTCTTATTTGAAATCGACAATGACTTAGTTGCCAACCTAATATAATAAACCCTTACAACTTGAACTATTTATTCTCACGTGATATGAACCTGCGACATAGAATTTGACAAGGTTAATGATAGCAATTAACAATGAGTTTTAAAAATACCAATTCAGAAGCCATTTTCGCATGAATAGTTTCAATTTTGTTTCCACGTTGAAGAAGATCCGATTCGGTGGCCTGGAGGGACTGAATCTCACAGTTAAGATCCTCTGATAATTCACGATACTCCTTGTTTAGCCTATCCACCACTGCAGAACGCAGAGACATTAAGAGCTGCTCTTCCTCTGACATCAAATCTAAATTAAGACGAATATTACCAGTATAGGTACTGAAAAAAAAAAATATTTTGAAGAAACGAGTTCATAGCACAGCAAAATCCAAGTTCTGATAATTCGTTAACTTAAAGAAAAGTTAGTAAATATTAGCAAACTATCGATTAGAGAAGAATCAAAAATTTCAATTAAAACTCTGCCAGACCACATCAACACTCGTGCCCGAAAAATGATCAAATTCATTTTATTTAATGCCGCCTATCAAAGGTAATGTAGGAGTTCTTAGGCGATTCAAGCCTTTGAGCGCTGCTATTTACTTTACAAACTGTAGTGGTTTCCTGCACATAGTACACAAACTGATCATTTCCATGAAATGCGTCAAATATGAAAGAAGCATAAGCAAAATGTAAGAAGAAAATGAAACAAATGGTTACTGAATATCAACCACGATTAAATTGTGCTATTGACCATTCACAAATAAGTGTGGGTTAAAGCGCTTACAAGCATAATTAATGAAAGAACCAAACAGCCTATTCACCTGCCATGAAGTTAACTGCTGTAAATTGTGTGTATAGAGGAGGAATAAATGAAGTTTCAAGAGAGATCAAGTCATTTAGATTTGCTCCAATAAGTTAGCGTGGAACCTAAATATAAATATCCAATATTAATGAATCCCTTCAACTTCCCCAACTCCAACGTAACCTAAAACGAAGTCTTGCTTTTTTCAACCTTCTAATTAATACAAGACATTGTTCACGAAAAGCCAATATATGTAGAGCACAAACTCAAGTCTACACAGGCAGATTAATGACTTGAAAGAGACAATAGTTGGAATAGTGAAGTAAGATCATATGATTTCATGCAAATATACTGCTTTTTCTACTGCATCAAACTAGCACTGGAATTATTTCATTTAATTAGAAAAGAGCACAAAATGACTTCGCAATACTAGAGCAATTAGAATTCAAAGTACTTCAATAACTTGTAGTCGTTTTGCAGATTTTAATACAAATACCATTTAAAACAGAATGTCATCCACTGTACAACAGATGACAGCTTATTGAAACGAACCCTGACAATTACATTTCCATGGATATTATCAAATACAAAAGATAAATAAATGATAAAGCTATATCTCACAACTATCAGTTATGGGGAATATAAATATGGAAACTACATTGGATTTAAATTAATTGAAAATAAAATACAAAAAATATCAGACAAGGATTTTGTGGAATCAACAGATCTATTTGACTAGAAAAAATTTAATTGGAACACTTATTCCTTGGGAGACAAAACACCAAACCGCTTAACTACAGGCATGAATCTATTGGTCGCAAACAGAAGCAACACAACAAGCATCACAAACTCATAAAGGGTAAAACGAACTCACCTGGCCGGTATTTGGTTGTTACAAAACCTATGTAAGCAAAGATAAGACGGTTGAGAGATCACACACTAAGTAGGCTCCCCGAACGAAAGGGATACAAAGAAAAAACAAACATGAAGTCCAAACTGCCAGTTCTTGCACTCTTAATCCTTACCGCATTCGGAATTTACAGCCGTAGTCTTTTTTTGCCGAACCATGGCATTGCAACATAATAAAAGTACATTCGATTTTTAAATAGTAATTTCACAAATACTGAACATGGACTTCTTTTAAAAAACAAATGAAGAATTGTAAATACCATAAAGAAAACTAAGCTTCATTTGTCCAATTAACCAATATCTGAATATTTAAAATCCCATAAAAGAGGACTTTTAAGGTTTCGTCTTCGATTAGCAAGCCAACCACGAACAGGCGGTAAGAAAGTGCCAAAAGTCACCACATCTAAGATAAATAGTAAGAAACAGTGGAAAGGTGAACTTCAATAGACTTAGTAAGTTGCAAATCAGTTGGGTTTTAAGTGAATAAAAAATATAGTAAATATGATGTTGGGAGATGACTCAACGAGCACATTAAAATACTCTGACAGTCATATGATACGGGCTGATACCGAAACGGTTATAATGATTACGAGTTAAAAGCCAACAATACTCGTTTAATTTGCACACCATATTTAATTTTCTTATCTACTATGGATAAACTTAAGACCACAACAAGTGGAGATGATGAACAACAGAAACAATTATAAATTCATGAATTGCTAAGTCCCCTAAAAAATTCTCAGTTTTATGCTAAAGTAACAACCACAAAAGTAGATGTGAATGATATAAAATAAATAAAATAATGAGTATATTCTTCAACTACACCAGAACCGTGATTGAATCCTGATGTCAATAAATCTTTTCGAATACTAAATCTAAGGTTGGAAGATTAACAGGAGAGAAAGATGGTGAATTATTTAACACTGATTTTCCTGAAAAATATAAAGCAACAAATATGATTGGCTAAGAGGATTAAGACTATAAGCAAGTTCAATGAAATGTACAAATGTGGGTAATCCTAATGAATCGAATGCATCACTGCAAATTTCATCTAGGTGCTCTTGATTTCAAATACAAACAAATCGGAGTGGTATGATCGACCATATAAACATATCAAGCAGGCAGAAATGAGATTACAACGAATTAACCTGAACCATAGACAATAATAATAAGTCTGAATGGAATAATGAGTAATCTAAATTTTCCTAATGTTGAAAAGCGATGTAAAGCAGAAGACAACAAGTACCATTGTAATGGAGACTTACTACCAGTGGATGATGTGGCATTGCCGAGATACGTGGAGGAGGTAGCTGAAGGTATTGACGGCATAGCAGTAGCTCCGAAGTAAGGCGCCTGAGAGGTAGAATTCGGAGTGGAGCTATTCGAGGAGATTGGCAAACGTGGCATTGCTCCCCAGCCTGCGCCTGGAACTCCGAAGACGTTGCCATTAGTAGTTGATGATGTCGCTGCCGCTATAAACAAGAAGCACAAGAGAAAAATAATACATCAGGAATTGAATTAACTCTTAACGATTTCAATAGTCAAAAATTTATCTATAAAACCACTTTCTTATTAAGATATGTCACTAACGTTATTCAACACAAGAGGAAAGTGCATACGCTCTTCAAATCTTGAGTCGAAGTTATACGAAGGTATTTAAAAATGACAAAGGATGTACTAGGATCCTGAGCATGAGACATTTGATTGGCATAACAAAATGTCTAGAGAAACTAAGAAAGTAGATGGAATCATCTGCAAATTATACAAACAGATGATAGTTTATGATTGACATGGAGCAAACATTTTGACATTTAAAAGGGCAAAATTTTCTAAAAAGGAAAGAAATGATCGGAACTACTATTAGGTTAGCTTGAAACTTTGAGGCAACTTGGTTTGAACGGAAAATCAGGCCTACTATGTTAAATATGAAATAATTATAAAGGAAAATACGTCCTTATTTGTAAGTAACCGAGAGCTACCACAAATGAAACAAACTGGATTGGGAAGACTATAACCGTACGCTTACTTATGCTTGCTAAGGAGTGGAGATGTATATGGGAAAATAACTACTAATAGGACTAAAATGAACTCAAATTGTGCCAACCAGATACTTCTGGTCAACCTAATTAACGAACCAAAAAATTAAAAAGGCTAGAAGAAACCATTTCAAAAATATTAATAAAAATCTATACAAATAGATTCGACGAACAAATATATTGTCTTAACCAAAGTCTATCAAAATATATAGCATGCGGTCAGTTTTGAAATTAAATAAATGTGCTACAATGGGAGTCGGTCTCAAGACATCTGATCAAAGAATTCCTATAATTACTAAAAGGACGGTGCATTATATAAGAGTTGTGACCAGTGTCCCAATAAATAGTGTGAAACCACTAACCCTAAGCTGACAACTAGCCACTTTAACCTCAGTAGATTCGGCCTATTACTACTGCTTGATCAAATGTCGTGTTCAGAAGTTACTTCTAAATTGAGGTAGAAAGGCGAAATGTAGGAATGCCAATCTACACTGAAAGCTAGAAAAATGCCTCGAGAACACATAAAAGAGCAATTGGAAAGGAACACGATTGGCCCCAGCAAATACTTATTCAGTAGAAAAATGAAAACGTGCAAAAATGCTAGATATGATAAAGAATAACAATTGCCATATTTTAAGACGAAAGCCATTAGTATCTGTGTCAAGATCAAACCTAATAGCCTCACAAATGCTTTCCGTGAATGGCCAGACTAGTCGACATTACCTCAATTGCAGTAGACAGTTGTTACTAACGCAAAATCCTATCAAATAAGGAATACTTTGAGAAAACAAGCACAAACTTAGGCTAAAATACACATAACCATGGATTTCAATGTGAACGACATAACATGTGAAACTTAAAAACTAACCACGGGTGACTGCTAGAACTTAGTGGGCGTAAATAAATAGCAGAAACACTTGAAACAGCATTTGAATAAAATGGCAAAGGCATTACAAAATGCATAAGGGAGAATCGCATGTTTAAGAATAAAGAAGAAACTAACGAGATATATGGAAGAACGCTTACCAGAAATCTGTGGATTGAAGCCGTAAGATATTGGAGGATTCATTGCAACTTTGGGCTTAGAAAATACAGGTGTTCGTGCACCAAACACACCTTGAAGAATCTCGAGTAATTTTTGAGTCGATGAGCCAGGCTGAAAAGAGAAGTTTTGATTAAATTGGGATAACATCAAAGGCTATAGTTTATAAGAAATGTAAATGATTACGTATTTCCAGTCAGTAAGGTAGGGTAGAAATATTTTGCCACTTGTATCTACATTTTGGCTCGGCTTTATCTGCATATTAGGAGTAGGACGAACGAAAGCAATTGGAGGATAATAAGGATGTTGATGAATAAAATAGACTGCCAAAGGAATATTATACGTATTTCCCTCGTATACAACCGGTATTGTGCCATCCAAACACAGAAGTCTGCTTGTTTGACCGTTATCGGAGGCTAAGAGTAATCGTTACAATCATAAGCCGATTCTTACTATAATCTTGTATTTTAATTCGAAGGCTGTGGAAGGCCTGCAAAGCCTTTTCAATGTCCGACTTTGCGGCATCTCTATGTCTATACTAAAAGAGGAAATTTCAGTGAATAAAGAAAATCCTTCACAACTAAGCATCAATCAGTACTTTAGAAGGAACTATTAAAATTTTATTATATAAATACATAAATAGCAAAGAAAACATATTTAAATAAAAGGTCTGCAAATTGAATAACGGCAGACAAAGTATCTTTTAAAAACAAATACTTTAAAAAAATAATTTAAAAGCGAACGATAAATACAGATGTAATTTTAAATACATCATATGAATGCTTATACATCTTACAGTTGCAAGTCCGTTTATTAATTCAGAAGAATGATTCATTATTAAAGATATTTGCCTTGAATCAAGCGCAGCAGCGATATATCTAACTCAAACAATGAGCGACAATTAATTGTTTTTTACTTAAGTATTGAAATATATAAAAATATACAGCAATTTTTTATTTTTCATAATTTATGCCCTTGATTAATACTTTTATCATAATAGTGAGCACAAATTAGGATACTTTAGACTATATTAAATTTGAAACATAGGCTTAAATACTCAATTAGGCAATGAATATATTAATGTGTGAAGAAAATCTGAATAAAAAATAACAAGTTTGAAATAAAATAAACTTTTATTTACTTACAATTTCTGCCTTAGCCTTACTAGATTTCGTTTAATTGCTTTATATATTACTTTTGCATAATTATATATATATATATATATATACAGTATTCTTTGTGAAAGCAATCATGAAATCGAATGCTTCTGACTTTATTTCATTTAAGGTATGTTTTCACTATTAGTTTCCGCGATTGACTAAGTTATATTCTGTTTGCGCAATATTTCTATTCCATGAAGATTTAATGTCTAGTAAGGCTTTAAGGTAGCCACAGAGAAATGTTTTGATTTCAAAATTTTCGTGATTTTAACTCCACCTTTGGTTATTTGGCTTTAAAATCATTTTCGAATTTGTCACGTCCTTTCCATCAATTTTGCTTTCTCCCGTTTCAAACTATTTCAGTTAATATATGCGGATTTTAATCATATATGCTTTGCACTCTAGATCTACTAAAATATTTTTCTTACCATTGGTAATTTTTTGCTCTCATAGAAGCTATTTGCATGCGTATCAACAAAATTTTGTTTATTTAGAATATACCACGTTCACTTGCCCACACCTGGGCTACTTTATATATTTTATTCTTAATGCAATACTAGAAATTAGTATTTTCAAGGATTTATTGGATTTCAAATATTTTAGCCTTACGTACTGCTTCTGGAGTTCATTTTTAATAAACAAAAATAAATTTTGGTGATAAGAGTATTTTTTAAAAGATTCCATTATTATTTTCATTTTATTAAACTATGCTTTCTTTATATTCGATTTTGCTCAACGAATCTTCCTTTTTTAAGAAAAAACCGTTTACCCTATATTGCCCTAATGTACACAGCTTTCTATAAACTGAGAGTAATTTTTCCTTAATTTCATTGTCTGAGGGCGAACGCATCATATATTTTCATTTTTCAATTCCAGTTACCATTTTATTGCTATTGTTTAATATTCATCCTTAGAGTTTCCAACCGACTTAAAATAGCATAAAATGGATATGAGTATGGAGTGAATTCCATAGAAGCAAAAAATGTTCACAGGCATTACAATTTTTACAAAGCAATGCATAGTAGAATTCTGTTTTACTTGCTCTGATTTAGGTACATAAATAGATAGATTTCTCGAACATAGTTGTCATACTGTTTAAATTCATGTTTAAACTTTTATTCACTTAAAAATTACAAATGTAACCCAATCAGTATCCGAAATCCTATGCTTCTAACTCTAAAATTAGGCGCAGGTGAATTTCAATGACGATATTAAATATTGCAGAGTTGATAAATATTCATTTTTTACCACCACCATACCGCTTAAAAGGTTTATTATCAACGCTTTGACATCATTGGCGTATTCCTTACTATTAGCTATGTTTTGCTATATTTATCATACTATCCAACTTACTGAAATTGTACGGGGGTCAGCATAACCCTTGAGAGGAAATTTTTGCAAAACGTTACTTTTATTTTCGATTTATTTGATTTTTAAGAAATTTTGGTAATACTATTTTATCATTAAAATGTATTTATAAAACACTTGCGCAAATCTTAATTTTTACTGAGACACTAAATAACTTGATGCACGATAAAAAATTACTTTGTCAAGTTGATTTGAGGGCCAAATGTAAATTACTAGAGCGCTGTCAGTTGCCTCACATCTAAGCATAGAAATCCAAGAATAACTTTGCTTAAGAAATGATTTGAACTTGCAAGATTCGTCAGCATTTTATTCCAAACCCATTGCATTTTGTTCGTGAATTTTGTGAGGAAATTTATATTTGCGCATATATTCACTTGGCGATTCTTTAAAAAATTTGAAACAAGGGAGTGTCTTAAAGTACACGAGAAATTAGAGATACATTTCGCCAAAAAATTCCACATATCTTAATGGAAAACTCAAGAAATAGCTAGCTTAACTCGAAGTAAGAACCTGTTTAGATATTTATTTTCTTTTGCTCCTATTGCATAAGAGTCTCATTGGATTTCTATTCAAGCCGAAATTAAAGTAATTATTCGTGGTTAGCCACAACCTTGTAATAAACGCTGAAGTTTATTTTAAACCTATTACATCTCATCAACCTTGCCGCATCATGCCAAAATTCAGGATCATATGCCAGTTGGTTATTTTCCCTCTTGCTCAGGAAAGGCTGTGGCTACTTGTCGAAACTAGGAAGGTTAAAAAGTCACGTGAAGTGATATTTAGTCTAATTTAGTCAGATATAGACCTCATAGAAGTTTGAAAATTCTCTTACCATGCTTTGTATTCTAAGGTTAAAAGACTAAAGGAAGTTTGATGGACAAACTAGTAATTTAAAAGAACTTGTTTATGGATATGCTTAGCCGCAACAGCAATATTGCCACTACCAGAAATTTTCCCCACCCAGTAAAATCTTTGGGCAAATGGCTGTTACTTAGTCTACCACCTGGCCAATACTTTAACTAATCGAAAATTACAGGGCATATTGGCTAATGACTAAATTTGAGTGGGTAACAAAGACAAAATTTTGGGTTTTATATTTTATTTAATAATGTAACGATAGAACACTTTCAATCAAATTCATATTGTCTTAATATCTTCTAAAATTCCCCAAAAGCATTTCTTCTCTATTAGTCTCCACTTTGGTAATTAGCTTCTCAGTTATGCACTTGGGGAGAGCATTTTTGCATTTAGCCACCTCGCTGAAGGTTGGTCCCTCTATTTCTAATTTGTAAACAGTCCTTGCACGCAACTTCAATGGCTTATTAGAGATAGTGATCTTGCAGTTGAATTGCTGCTCTAAACCCCAAAATCTGCGAGCAGTTATTCTCCTGATATTTGCTAATGTATCACTCTCCGTGTTTAACATTGCCACATATGAAGTATAAGCCATTCCATCTGCTTTTCTTTCAATGAATCCAAGCTTTGGCATTGACTTTAGAGTAGTAGTTTGAGCGCTACTGAAGTCCGAAGTGTTTTGCTTGCCCATTTGTCTGGTGATGAATTCTTCATGAGTAGTAGCATGCACATTAAATCTAGGTCGATTTTTGATGCAAGTATTTTCGGTTTTAGAATCACCACAAGCAATAACTGATTCTTGATTTGGCATTTTGTATTTTATAGCTGGCTTTATGTTTCTAATATTCAATTCTTTAGTCGGAGCCGCAACAGTTTTTCGTAGGTTGACTTCATTCGAGCTGTTAGATAAAGCAGAAGTTGGCATAAAATCGCAGCATTTCACAACTCTATCAGACAGTAACTTTTTGTCAATTGTAGACGAATATATTGCCTTTTGATCCCCAATGTCGGTCACCTTTTCATTTCTGCAGCCTTCTTTAGAGGTTGCAATATTAGAGATATCGGGTCTGATTCTGAAAGGCGATCTAAACTTTGGAAACCGTTTCTTGATGTTGATGATTCTTTCCAAGGTGTTCTTTCCTCTTTCAGTTCTTTGCATTTTGATGTTATGCCCTTTGACAGAATGCACCGCCACGGAATGTTCATTTCCTGCAGCATTAGAAGTAGTCATTGAGCTAACATCGTTGTCTTGTCCATTTTTTATATGCATCCAAATATCTTCATTTATTGAAGAAATCTTTTCCGAATTAACGGATTCTGATGCACCACTGTTATTTCGGCTTTCATGTTGTTGACGTTCATACTTGCTAGCTTTATTTCCAGCAAAATTTGTGTTTCCGTGAGTAGGTTTGACTTTGGGAAAACGGTTCTTAATACTGGTATAATTGGAACCCTCTTTGGGGGAAACTCCCATTTTTCCCATACGAAGTCTCTGGGGGTTTAATCTAGACACAATTTGCGACAACATTCCTGGAAGTTAAGAGCGACGAGATTGTGACAAAATTCGCAGTTCAAAATACGTAAATCAATAAGCTACAATCAGACACGTGATTTTTAACAGTCGATTTAGCGTGGCCAATTTTGACAAATTTAGAATTTTTTGGCATTGCTATATTCAGTTATTATTAGCTTTTTTAAACACTAGTTCTTGTAACATTTGAAATAGAAAAAATTATTAAGGCATACCTCTTTTTAATGGGAAATTTTCGGCTAATGATATTTACTCATTTCAAATGGGTATATTTTTTATTTAAAAATATTTCCTTCACATTTGTCATGTTTTGTACAAATTAAGTAGGTGAATGGGATTATTAGCAGTTACTACACAAATAAGCCAAAATTAAACCACAATAATTCATTCTGGTAAAATTCCCTAATATAAAATTTCTTCCCAAGATAGCTAGGTTACTATCAAATTAGACCAAGCACAGATAGTATGCAATGCAGAAGGTTTACTAAAACTTATTTATAAAGGTTAGCCATTAAAATACGATTTGTTCTAAATTACGTTATAGAAATTTCTTATTGATGGTTGGCTGAAAGTTTCTCCAATTGCAACCGCAATTGCTCGCCTCACGACCAGTAGCAAGTACGCACCTTTCAAACTGGTCCAGCGCACTTAAGATTCACTTCTTCAACCTTTGTGCACACCACAAGTTTGTGCCCCTCTATTTTATTCGGAAATAATTATTCATATTTGATTTGAAAGTAAATTAAATGATTAGACAATTTATGTAATTTTTAAGATGTGCAATATTACATATTTAGACTCACAAAATCTTCATTCCGTTTCTTCAATTTTTCTGTTAAGAAGTAAGTGGCAAATTCATTGATATTATTTTTTAAAGATATGTGGAATAGGTTAATTCGCTCGTGAAAGCGAAATTGTTTGTTGCTGGAAATAGCAAGTTTGTTATTATATGTAGCCCTGGCATCAAAATGCACCTTTTAATCGTGGAGCATAAACAAAAGGGGAATCGAAGCAGTTGAGGCGATATCGCAACATTTTTTGACAAGTTGAGAACCAAAGCCATTCCACGGTAGCCAGGATTAAGTACTCAAAGGACCACCGAGATAATTAGGTAGAAGAAAAATAATAGCTAATGGCCAGAGAACGAAATTTATTAAAAGTGAACATTAAAATGTTGAAAATGCTAACTTGACAAAATGGATTATTTAAAATAACAGATTATAAACAGCAAGTCACTGAACGAACGTTGTTCCTGTTGAATTCATACTGGGCCTAAAATGCACTAACTTCCAGTTCTTTCAAAGTATTAGTAAATTAGATTTCATATGTAAGAAACCTAATTTTATTATAACATTATTATGCTAATACTGTAATCAATTCATGCATAAAATTACATGATGAGCTTACTCTTTTTCTCCTCTTAAAATACATTTTTATGAGTTTTTGGAAATTTAGAAAATAAATTTTTAATTGAAATTTAATCTGATCAATTTCGGTCCTAATATGTCGAGGAATTCAATCTAGACATTCAACTTTCAAACCTGGACTTTAATTATTAACCAAATGCGCCTAGATTAAAAATCTCATTGCAGGTTACAAGCTTTTAAAGAAAAAATAAGTGATGCAACCTCCCTCCCATTATAGACTCTGAATAAAAGTGCAATTAAAAGTTGAAAAAATGTTAAATTGCAAAGAAATCAACCTCCAACTAACACTAATTTAACAGTTATGCAACATTTACCATGTTTTTATCAGACAGACTTAATGTAGTTTATTTTTTAAACATCAATTTTAAAACCCAAGACTCATTTATGCGAGTTACAAGGAATTCTGATTAATTGCTCTAAACTCCGACTTTAAATTTGGCTTACGCAAGTGGTATAAGTAAGACCTTCCCATTATTTTACAGAACAAAATACTTTCTATTTGAATTTCTCGAATTTACCTTCTTAAAAGCGAGTGTTCTACTAAACTTTAATTAAAAAACTGTTAATTAAGAACTAATTAGAGGGAAAAATTCAAACGAGTATATGAAATTTTGACCAAATAACCTGTATTGTGGTCTAATAGATTACAAATTGCAACAACATCATCCAGATTTAGCTGAGAAGCAGAACATTATGAAATAAAATTAAGGAGTTTTTGTTCAGTTTTCAACCCCTAATTCGTTCCAAACCACTTTCCTATTTTCCGGCCTAAGCCAACTACAACTAACGGTTGATTTGCTAAGACACGCACATAAATGGAGTGTTTTTTTAGCTTTTCTTACTTACGCTTGCTTTTATTCAAGTTGATTATAGTCCAACGTGTTAATAAAAGCATTGTCTTGTTAAGGCTTATAACAAATAGAATTTACCAAACGGTTCCAATTGAAAGCAGAAACGGATTAAAAAATAATGTTCACCTGTCTGAGAAGCATCTTTGAAAGGATATTTAAGTCCTAATGAGATTGTTCTTGAACATTACTATAACCCACGGCCATGCAGGAGAATTTCGCAGCTTTAAATGTGATGAAACACCTGAAGTCGGGCAGGTTCTCAAGGGAAGTTAGGAGGATGAGGAGGAGCCAGAGAGAGAGTATGCCAGAAGAGTTACCTTATTGGTCGATTGGAATTGTTTTATGAAAAGCTTACTTAATTAATATTTTAATGTTTTGCGCTCCAAAAGTCAAATTTCACTATTTTATCTCACGCATTACCGACAAAATTCTTTCTCAAAAAATATCTACTGCTAATTGGCTAGTTGCTCATTCTTTCGAAAGCTCAAGAAATCTGCCTGGTTTTATAGAAATTGAAGCAGGTTACATGATATTGACAAAGCATAGATCCGAGAACAATAGGTTCGGCTTAGTAATTTTTTTAAATTTTGAAATGTGTTATTGAGCCGTTTATATTAGTGCTACGGGGTGTGCGATAGACCTACCTCCACGTGGTGCACCCTGGGCAACATATACTCATGCGGCAAAAAAGTCCATTATTCGGCAGTTGACTTCTCACTTCAAACAACCATCACCCCCCCCCTGTATGTCATATTCAACTACTTTCACAGTACTCATCTTACCCTTTCTAAGCCTTTGTGTCTGTTTACATATTTGAAACACCCTTCTATTCCCCCTCCTGAATTCTTCTCACTTTGATGTTCCTCCTCCCCTCTGTGAAGCCCGAAGTCAACTAAAGGGCTAATGATAACTATCAAAATGCCTTCCATTTGTTATAAATAAATAAAATAAATATTAGTGCTACAGATTTTATGCTACTTTAAACTCTACTTATGAAAATGTCATCATTAGAGCTGTTTGGAAATGCAATTGTATGCGTAAAATGTGTATGCGGGAAAATTTCTTACCAAAAACGCGCATTACTCAAACAGTTCAACTAAGCCATGCTAACAAACTAACTACACTAGACCAGTTCTAAACACAGAATAACTGCTTCAAAGCGATTTCATGTAATGCTGGGTTA